CCCCCTGGCCTGGGCGGGGAAGACTGGTCCTCAATGAACCCTCATTTGTGTTCCCAGAGGGGAGACTGCCATCTGTAGCTCTTGGAGAGTCCTGGCTCCATACCCTAGAAGGCTCAATTCTTCCTTTGTTCTTCTTTGTCACATCTGTCATGGCCATTGAGGAAAAGTCCTTCTTGAGAAATAAGCAACTTTCTTAGCCCAGGACCTGCCTGAGAAAGGTTAGGTACCAAGGATGACTTTAAGTCACAAAGAGCTACAGTCTCTTTGCGTCCAGTCAGGGCTGCCTTTGGTGGTGAAACTCTCTCACCAGTTTTATAGGCTTCTGACCTATTTGATTCTGCACAGCTCCATGAACCCATACAAGACCCACAAGGTTTCTTGGGATTTGGATCTGAGAATATTTGCTTTCTAATTTTTTTCCCTCTCTCTCTCCCTTTCTATCTTTCCATATTTGCAGTTGCTTTTCCATTGAGTCTATTAAGGTTCAGGGGGAGAATCATACACTCATTCTCCATTTTTTATTTTTTAGCTATTTTTGGCCAATTGAAAAGATGGATGGGGTGGCCTGCTATTAATTATATCTTTATTCTGAGATGCCTGTATCCACTCCCAGATTTTAGCGTGGTGTGGTCCTTACTCCTAATTTGATCCTTATCTTAATACTTCAATCTATCTCACTTTCCTATTTTGCACAAAGCAGTCTCTGAGAAATGGTTGCTTTTTCCAACCCTACTGGCCTCCCAATTTTTCTATTCTTCTATTTATTTTTACTCCTGGTTATAAACCAGTCTATTTTGTTTTTGGAGGTCAACTCTTTTTCAAGATATGTCACCTGCTGCAGCTGACATCAATCCACAGACACTCTAATTTTCTATTGAATCTTCTTCTAGCGCAACGAGTTTATTTTGCATAAGCTCTGTCTTATGAATTATCATAGGCGATTATGTTGCCAAATGACTTGTCACTGCATTTGACTGACTGCACTCTTCTTGGCTCCACAGGAGGGGCCACCCACAAGTGCCCCCCCCCACAGCCCCACAGGACCAACACTCAGCCTGTGCCACATAGCTTAGAGTTGTTGTCATGTCAACATCTGATCCTAGTATAAAGAACGGTTGCAGGCAGCCATGGGTTATGTTAGGCTGTACTAACAAACTGCCCCACAATTCAGTAGCTCACAACACCCAGATTTATTTTCTCTCTTGCGAAGTCCACTGACAACCTAGACAACTCCCAGGGCAGCTGAGCTGTCCTCCCCGGAACGGCTCAACGTTGTACTTCCTTCGCAATGTGGCTTTCCAGTCGCCATAGCCGAGAAAACCTGGGGTACAGAGTTGAGCACCTGTAATTAAAGCACTCCCTCCTGGCAGTGACACATGTAATTTTGCCACTCTCAACTTTTAAGAGGCAGGCATGTATTCTTCTCATGTGTCCAGAATACGAGAAGAACTGAGTGTCACGAACAGTCATGCCTCCCAAATACCGTGTGACTTGATGAGTGGAGACATGAGTTTAAACAGTGGTTCCCGAATCTGTACTATTATGAGCACTTTATTTCTACGTTTTTTAGAATTACAGTTATAATCCTAGCGGACACGCTTTTTCTATACTTATTAACTTTGAAAAGGTTTTAATATAACTTTTGCGAATGGCTTCTATTTTCTGCTGATTCAGATTCCAGCTTAACTTTCCAAATGGGGCATTACAACATGCTACTTACTCAAAACTTCCCCATTATAACGGTCAGGTATTCTACAGGACACCAAACACCTGTCTTAACTTATCACCGTGATGGGAGAAGAGGAGGGTGACACAGTCGGTCCTTGGGTGTTAATACGAAATCCACAGAGATGACGTTTCAAGGTCAGGCGGTGAGTTAAACATGGCCTTTCATTCCCCACTGTTGTTTGAGAGCTGTCCACTTCCTGTTAAAAAACCCCAGCTCTTCCGAAGCTCACGACTTCCCCTCTTCCGTCTTTTCTCATGGTTGTCATCTGCCAACTGTGGGTCACTCGTCTTAACTCGAGGCTCTCAGCCACTGCCTTATTTTTCAGCTCTGCTGCTGGCAGCGTCCTCAGGAATCTCAACCTCTACATCGGTAAGCCATTCACCGAGTTTCTGGGTCCTTGGTCTCACCTGCAAACTCCTTTTCTCGTATGCACTTTAGTCGCTCACTTCCATGGCCAGCAGTCACTGTTCCACTTCCAACAGCTCTATTGTCAGACAACAAGACACCTCATCAAACAGGTGGGCACAAGCGGTGGGATTTTCGGAATGGGGCCCTGGTACCAAGCCAGGAGCAAACCCAGACATCAACTTTGATACGTAAGCGCAGGGGCGGCTACCTTCCTGGCTCTCACTGGCACTCCCGAGGCCTGTGCCTGAGTGGATTTGAAATCAACCCTTTTTGGGGACAGTTTCTCATTTTCTGCCTTCCGTTAATTTTTCCCCCCTTCCCCCCCACCAGATTTTCCCGCTGGCTAGCTAGTAAGGTAGCCCCAAATGCTTGAGGGTAAATAGGACAGCATTTTCTTTGTGAACCCATTCTTGTGTTCTGCATATGTTTTACTCTTTTCTATTCAAAAATGCTGATCTTATAATAGAGCTATAATAGCAATACTCTATATGTAAAGTCATCCTTATGTTGTTGTGGGTTCTGTTTAAAAGGAAGCTGGTGTCATGTTACAAAGCTGTTTCTCGTTTGAAAATAACATTCCCTATACTGAGAACTCCCAGGGAATAAAGTAACGCGCAGTAAATGGAATCTCACTGTCTCTGTAGTGGAAAAAAAAAAAAAAAAGCACAGGTCTGAAAACGTTAAAAACTAAGCACTTCAAAATTCACTTTAAATTTTACAAATGAAATTCCATGTCAATGCCTGTCAAAGAACGGGGCGATATAATTTAAGGTTCTCAGTGAAGAGAAGTGAGAGTGAAAGTGGATGAACTGCCTATCATCTTATCTCCATGTGTTCACTTCTGTACCTTCCTCCTCCTTCCCACCAAAGATGCCCTTTTTTACTTTAACTTGTCTGTGTTGCATCTTGATACTTATAGCAGCCCATCAAGGCAAGGACCAAATTAACATATACAGATGTGGAGAAAATGCCACGACTTGGTTTTTTACAAACAAAATATGAATATGATATGGTGTCACCTGGACTTTTATGTGCTTACATCAAGGCTTGTATGTTTTCTATTGACTGAGTTTATATTTTTATTGTCTAGCTCAAACTGACCTAAATTAATAAGTATACATGCAAACCAGTTTTGCAGGTTATTAAATAAGCCCAAATAATCCAGAGAAGTTTTACATGCTTATATAAAACCTGATT